TTATACCAAGCTAATCAGATTCGCGACCCATTCGTACATTACATTTTACTCATTCACCAAAAGAACTCGTTCATCACCAAACAATCCTTCAACCACCATAATACCACGTGCTCTCAAGGGAGACCTACCAAAATCGCGCCCCATGCCATAAAAATTTTAATGATGATATATATATATATATACAATTCTAATAATGATAAAATGAGAGGGGAGGGAAATGAACCCAATAATAAACTTAAAATAAACACAAATACAAACTAAACATAATTGATGTTAGTAGGGACCGTCCAACCCATAAAACAGAGAGACCGCTGTATTCTGCCCAGGGGACAAAATCAAGAGACGCTCTCGCTAAGGGAGTGGGAAAAAAGTATAAAATATTAGGCTGGAATGGGAAAATATAAAACTGACCCAGTCGAGATAAAAGGGGGTGGGGGATCAAAACAAACTGGGGAGGTTGGGAATCTCGACTTGGATCATAACCAAAGAACGGCCGGGATGCAGGCCAGGAACAACACTTACCCACATTAACTAGGTACACTGAAGCTTGTCTAACCTAACCAAGGGGAGGGTTCCACAGGAAGCCACCCTGATGTGCAATAGGTTGACCTAGAAGAGAAAATCAAGGCTAGCCCCGTTCACACGAAGCAAGCTCGCTTCTTTTACCCACCTTTCGCTAAAGACTGTCGAATGCAATCGTTTTCTATCCGATCTAATCTTCATCTTGAGCTGATGCTCAAAGAATCGAATTAGATCCGAATGAGAAAGACGATTGCCTCGCAAGACTTCCTCCTTTCGCGTCGTCCAAATTACCATTCGAGCCGTGGCCATCAGCGTCAGAAACACCATCCGTTTCATCCCGGAATACGGGGGCGACACATTGTCACACGCGTATGCGCGATCAATGGACACAAGCTGTTCGGGAGCGAGACGAGCCGTCACCTCGCCGACATGGTCCCATAAGGGGCGGACCTGGGGCCAATGGTAGAAGGCGTGCGCAGCCGTTTCTTCTAAGCCAAGGTCACACCGTTCACAGTCTGGCAAATCGGCCAAGCCCCATATGAAAGCCGATTTCGAGCCAATCGCCGATTTCGAGCCAATCGCCGGCTAAGCGAAAACTCAGGGTTACTGAGGTAATCCGCCGCTGGCGCCCAAGACCAGTAGGAGCGATACTCCTCCTCCGACAAGCCGAGCATATCTCGTAGGGGATCCTTCGCGGGCCTCTCCACTGATTCACGATAGAAGACCTTCCTAGGCCGAGAAAAGTCACTGGATCGGGGAACGGCCCTCAATCCCCTCCAGAATCAGATCTCCTCCAGTCAATGCGCGGCGTAGGAAAGCCAAACTAGAGGCATGGATGTGACTCGGCAGGTGCGGCATTCCCAGCCCCCCATGACATGGACGTTTAGTGCAGACTCGTCTGTCGACCCGATTCTCGCGTCCCCTCCATAAAATGGAGGATAGCGATCGCTCGAGCGCCTTCTTGTGGGTCTTACAGAGAGGAAGTACGGACAACCGATAAAGAATCAGGGGGAAAATGTATGTAGCACACACCTCCGCCCTGCCCTTCTCGGACAACCTCCGTCGATTCCATGTCTGACCGGCGGAATCGACCTTTGCTCGTACTTCAGACTAATTCTTCTCCAGTTGGAGGTCAGGCCCAAACCACACTCCGAATGCCGACAGGACCGTCTGTCCAACCGAAGCGGCCCGGAAGAGCGACCCCCTTCCAGGCACCTAACCGCAAGCCGGACGACTTTTCGCGGTTTATTTTGGCCCCTGTCACCTTCTTGTACCGACCAAGCGCCTTCTGTACCGCCTCAATGTCGTTGCGGGACGACACGAAAGCAGATACGTCATCGGCGTACGCGGAAACCCTGGCTCGAGACCCTCCAGGAACGGCAATTCCGCGTAGGGCCGGACTGCCGGTCTCGTCTTTCAGCCGGCGAAGGAGAGGCTCCAACGCCAAAGCATAAAAGAGAGGCGACAGTGGACAACCCTGACGAACCGACTTAGACAGCACGAACGCGTCCGACAACCTTTCGTTCACCTGTACCACCGCACTGGGGGAGCGATACAGGAGGCTAATCCAGCGGCAGAAGTTGGGCGCGAATCCAGCGGCCTGCAGGACAGCAGCAAGGTAGCGATGGTCGACCCTATCAAATGCCTTGAACTGATCCAAGTTGATCAGCGCGGCTTTTTCGTCGTCTTTTATACCCTCTATGTGTGTGTGAACATTGGTGTCTGTTCTTTGGTGAATGTTCGTGTTTTGGTGAATGTTCGTATTTTGGTGAATGTTCCTACGTACATGTATGTGCGTATAATGTTCATGGCGTCTCCCACAAATGGGAAGACTCGGATCTTCTAAGAAATCATACATTGTAGTCGCTGAAATGAAGAAATGAAAAAGAGAACGCGACGAGAAGTCACCCAGTATTTACAGTATAGGGAGAATGACCCCCTAGTGACAATTTGGGAGTTAAGGAGGAGCTAACTCCGACAGCTTTACTGCCTTGCTTGGGGCGAAATAGATTAAAAAATAACTGAAAGACTAAATTTCATTAAATAGAGAGATTAGTGACAATTCTATCAAACTTTCTATATGAGATGTGACCTCTAGTAAAAAAATGATTAAAAAAAAATGATTATTTCGAACTTACAGTAAAAAATGTTTCAGATTGTCATTCTTGCTTATTTTTATCACAAGGTTTGTCACTACGACATACATTTCTATAAATTACTTGTCCTGTCGGCGAAGCGCAGAATGCACGGAAGACCTCGTCTGTAGGGCGCCTCCTAAGTAAATACTTATAGACCCAAATATAAACGGCCAATATTTACCTATTTCCAAACCAAGTAAATGCTTAGCGACTAAAACTTCTACGAACACTACTTATTTGCGTATAACGAGAAGAATCTCCCTCCGTAGATTAAATAAAACCTTCAGTCAGCATGTAAATAAAACACTTCAGCCCAGAAATTCACACAGAAATAATAAAACGTGTCACACAAAAAACCTTATTTTTTTTTTCTTTTTAGTAAAGACATATATTTGAAGCTGTGCAGGCACAGTGGAGTAATGGATAGCGACTCGAATTGGAGAGCCGAGTTCGAATACCCGTCAAGTTCAGTGTATTCACTTACTTTAGGGAAAGGCATGAATCCGTTGCAATTAACAGGACAGTTTGGGTCCTATAGCTTTTATCGGCAGTCAGTTTAGGAGAAGGAAAACACTGAATTCAAAGCAGCCTGGAGAGGGTTGGGCTCTGTCCGAGTACCTGTGGCTGCGGTACATGTGTGTTATCCCTACGAACATTAGGGGGACTAATGGTCGTGATATTAAACTGAAACTCCCGCAATCATATGAATACAACATCTGTTGGCTAAAACCACTTATATTGTGAAAACATTGGCTTGCATAAGAAAATCTGAGAGTATTAGATAAAAATCTAGCCAAACAGGACCTCAATTTCATGAATAACCATAAATGCGCAAATGATTTTAACAATATTTTCGATAGTCAATAAATTATTTGCAATAATTCGGTTCCAAGTTCACTGTGTCGTACGGGACAATTTTTATCTCCAGAATCTACCATACATATCTATAAGTCTTCAAGTCGTCCATGCTTAGAATATTGCCGCCACATATGGTCTGGTGCCACAGCTATTTACCTTCAGTTTCTTATATGTGATTTCTCCATCATAATTTGATGATTTTCTTTTATACAACGATCTCTGTATTTTGCAGTTTTCAAAAGTAGTTCCCAGAAAAAAGAAACCCTTTTTCTTTAAAAAATAAAATAGTAACGGAGGATCCTTACATTGGAGTTTATTAAAATGGAAAGGAAATGGCAACAAAAGGAAGTAAATCCATTCTATTGTTTATTATTTATCTTAAGCTTCATTATTTCTAAAAGTGCACTAGTCTGGCCTCTTTCTGGTTATAAATTTGGTAAAAATCATTATTTATCTATAAAATTCTGACTATTATTGTTGTAACTATGATAACATTATTTCTATGATTTACTTTCCATCTTAAGTAAGCTTATTCGACTTGGAAAATTAGAGTTCAATAGAATTCCAGGGTATTGTAATTCAATTAACAAAATTCTGTAAATAAAAATAAGTATGTTTCTCTCCCAATTATGAATTGCTCTCTGGTTGAAAACCCCTATCTTAGAGAAAGTAGTAACCTTCATAGAAAAGCAGCCATTTTGTTACAGAAGCCATCTTGTTTTGCTGGTAGCCATGTACAGTTTTGTAAAATCAAATCCATCAATAAATGTAGAACAGTATCTAATTAATAAAAACAACCATTTTCGTTTGGATTTTTATAAGAAGATATTGTTACTATAGAAATGGGTCAGTTAAAAAGGTGCAAAGAACGACAATTATCCTGCTTGTAAATGGACAAATTAAACTCGTTGCAAATATATCTGCCAAAAAAGTAAGAAACTAAATTCGGCAAAGCATTAAGAGATAGGAAAATATTGTTAGAAAAAAAAAAAAGAAAAATATCTGAACTACTATATAATATGTACTCTTCTATATGACAATGAATTCTCACAGACAAAGAAGAGATTGAATCAACGGAAACGGGATTCTACCGACGAATGCTGGGAATACAATGTATAGAAAAAGTGAGTAATGAATTTAAACGAGAGTTGTAAGTACTGGGAAACTAATACTTACAATCAGAATACGACAATTGAAATTTATGGGTTGATTGATTTGATTTTTACGGCTTAGCAACATTTGCTTGGTTATTTAAAGCCTCCCCAAAATCTTTAAATTTTAAGAACACTCTGAAGATATTAGTGAATTACTGATTCAAGTTTTACTAATTAACCCATAGCTGGAGGAAAGAAGAGGTGGATTCACACCTTTCCCGAGGATATTTGCGCGTAACTGAATATAACGAATTCAACTGGAATTGGTACTCCCCTCTTTGACTTCCAATTCCGAGGAATTATCCATTAAATCACCCCCCAATCCAAGCTTACAGCACCTGCTATTCCTAAGTAGTTACCCATACAGAGACTGACCAGGCTCGACGTTGTTTAACTTCGGTAATCGTACGAGAATCAGTGTTTCAACGTGGTATGTCTGCAAACCATACCATCCACACATTCAAGCTTATAGCATCTGGTATTCCCAAAATGTTACCAATGTAGGTACTGACCAGTATCGACGTTGACTAACTTCGGTAATCGTACGAGAACCATTGTTTCAACGTGACATATATATATATATATATATATATATATATTAAGAAATGTACAAAGTCCGACAATTTATTTATTAAAGACATTTTTATGTTTAACGTTCTTTTTTTTTGTTTATAGATACAAGTATTTAAGTAAATGCTCTGTTTATAATAAACAGTATTAAATAACATTTACCGGCCTGAATGTCCGAGAAATCTTCATAGAAAATATTCGTCCTTTGACAGGATTCAAACCTGCATCCTATACGGAATCGTCATTTACGCTGACGTGCCTTATCGACCGGCCACAAAGGAGCGTTCGGTAGACAAGGTCGAATTTACTGCTTATAAACTTCAATCTTCCATGTATCTCGTAAATGACGGTTCCGTATAGAATGCAGGTTCGAATCCTGTCAAAGGACGAATATTTTCTATGAAAATTACTCGGGCATTCAGGCCGGTAAATGTTATTTAATACTGTTTATTATAAACAGAGCATTTACTTAAATACTTGTATCTATAAAAAAAAGAAAAAGAAAAAAGAACGTTAAACATAAAAATGTCTTTAATATATATATATATATATATATATATATATATATATATATATATAAGCCATATCATCTGCATATCCAAGCTTACAGCACTTGGTATTCCTAAGAGGGTACCCATTTATATACTGACTAGTCTTAAAGTTACTTATATTCTGCGATTGTATGAGAAAAATAAATTAACTTAAGGAGATGCTGGAAGTATATCATTATCGGTAAAATTGATGCCGGTTAAAATATTTGACCATTCCTACAGTTGTCGCTCTATGAGTGGACATTTTCCTTCTGTTGGAAGTTAGTCCATTTTATTGAACCTTGATATGAAATCCCAGATATTAATTCCTTAGTCCTTTTTTGACTTGGGCCAAAGCTGCCAATTTTCTATTTGGGAAAACGGTTACTCCTTCCAAATTCCGGATTTATATTATTTCTGGTGAATATATAAGATAGAGCCGTCTCTCTAGATAAAATGCTTGATCTTTCAGTCGACAGTTTGCAATTTATCGCGAAAAAAATCGCAATAACAAAGATGAAACCATTTTCCGAGCATAAAACGAAATTTCATTTCGGAAAAATGTTCAAGATGCGCATTGAATCAGTAAAATGAAAAAAAAAAAGACTTCATTTTTGAATCTAAAATTGGCCATAAATAAAAGGAGATAAACGTCGTGCGCATGTCAATGCGCACATCTTGAAGAATCTGTTTTGCGCATGCGTATAAGTGTCTTTAATGTATCACACACGGTAATATATCAGCGAAAATATCTTAAACATAAAAAATTCAAACGCATTAACTTTGAGGTTATTGTACATTGCGAAAATTCATCTCGATTTTCTAATGGATGATGAAAGAAATCACTTTTTGAAAAAATAAAATTAGCTGTTTTTCGTATTTTTATTTAACACGTTTACAAAAGAGGCGAGTTTTAAAGCCTATTGCATATTCAGTTCTATCTTTATAATCATGCTTTCTTTTTTTATCGATAATTGAATCTGTATTTGCATTAATTTACAACGTATTCTTCAACTTATTTTATATAAAAGAGAAAGAGAATTAACAAATATGATGTAAATTGAAACAGGTTGCTTGTCGTGGAAGACAGTATTGTTCCAATGACACGTTAATCATTAGCAGTGTTGACGTGTCTATTAGCAACTGTGGTAATATCAGATTTTACAAGCATAAGTATTCGTGCGTAGAAAACGAATTAAAACGTGGAAAAATTTGGAATTCACTTATTGCCCTTAAAACTTGGAATTCGGTTTTACCTTTAAAATGGGGAATTCTTTTTTGCCCTTAAAACGTGGATTTCTTTTTTGCCCTTAAAACGTGGATATCTTTTTTGCCCTTAAAACGGGGAATTCTTTTTTGCCCTTAAAACTTGGATTTCTTTTTTGCCCTTAGAACGTGGAATTCTTTTTTGCCTTTAAAACGTGGAATTCTTTCTTGCCCTTAAAACTTGGATTTCAATTTTTTCTTTAAAACTTGGAATTCATTTTCGCACTTAAAACGTAGAAATCTTTTTTGCCTTTAAAACTTGGAATTCCGTTTTGCCCTTAAAACGGAGAATACTTTTTTGCCCTTAATATTTGGAATTCCTTTTTTACCCTTGTAACTTGGAATTCATTTTTGCCCTTAAAACGGAGAAGTCATTTTTGACGAACTTGCGAGCATCAAGAGCATGTGTTTTTCTACCTCGATCATATGTTTCTTGGTTGGATTTTGAAAGACGCCTACTGAACACATTAAAATTGACGCTGCTTTATCATCATCATCTAATAAAACCAATATGGATGTGCAGTGGTGTAATGAATGGCGGCTCGTAAAGAGAAATCTTAGAGACGAGTTCGAATTCCAGTCGAATTCGTTATATTCACTTATTCGCATATACTGTCGCATATACTCTCTCCCCCACCAATCATAAGTGAATAGCCTTGGTTGGCAACCAATCTAGGAGAAGGTGAATAGTGAATTGAAACTAGTCTGGAGAAGGTTGGTCTCCGTCAGATTATTTCGCCCAAGATAAGCTATGACTGAAGTTCGTGTGGTACCCCTACGATTTTAATGGCTTGTGCGTTCCGATCTATCGGAAAACCCTTCTCGAATAAAAAAAAAACTCTTCAAAATGCGTTGGTCGAGCTGAGAAATTTTTAACATTCCAGTGATGATGTTGAGTTTACTGGAGTTTCATAATTTCGAGTGCTTCATGGCATATCTCCAGCATACAAATCTAACTGATTATCTATTATTATATTCATATATAATAGCTACTTATATTATTAAGTTAATTACAAAGCTACGAGTTTACACCTGTTGTGGGTCCTTCAACCTAGGCTGGCAACCAGTCTAATCCAAAATCCTGAATAATTTCGTGACATTAAAATAACGACACAGATTTTCATTCCACGTGATTACGGACTAGACTCTCTCTGAATGATTTTAGATAACGGAACAGTCTAAATGCTCTCTCCTTCCGTATGATAAGAGACAAGTCATAGAAACTCCTTCCCTCTACTTAAGATAATAGAAAAATACCATTTTTACTACACTATTTACGTTCATAGCATTAGATTTTTATCGCAACTTATTTAATTATTTTAATTCGCAAGTTAACGTATGTAAATAATTGTCTTTTATTTCGTGAATGAATAAACTATACAATTTATTTACCGATTTAGTTTCAGAATTTGTTGTAGGCTCCGGCCTTCTTCAGGTGATTGGAATTTGGAACCGAACCTTTATTTTCGTCCACCGGGGTAGACTGTTCGAGTTCCACGTGCCGTGCCTCTTCCGGATGTCTCAGTTATTTCCCTTTAACTCATTTATTTGGTTCACCACTGCTGTGGTCTGGTACTGAACTCACAAATTTTGGGGCCTAGGCACTGGATCGAACCAACTTTTTTACCCACTGGGCCTTGTATCCTTGAGGATCTAACCAACGTCTTTATGGATAAAGAAGTTGTGAGTTCAATACGAAATAAAGAGTTCGATCGAAATTCCATTCACTGGAAGAAGGCCAGAGCATACAACGGCCGAAACGTTGTGAATATGGCAATGAAGATGAGTATAACAGCCCGAATAATGTAAATAATGTAAATAGCCATATTACCTCATCTCAAAGACAAAGACAATTTTTAATAGAAAAAAGAACGAAAAGAATCCTGAACTGTTATGTTTTTTAATCAATACACCCTGAGCAAGGCGATAATGCAATTAAGATATAAGGTGCTATTGGGAGTGAAAGAGAATGAAAAGAATTTAGAGGAAACAGAAAACTAGGGATAAACCTCTAGATCTGTTCAAAACTCCTGGTAGGAGTGTGAATTATACGATAAGTAAATCTTTTGTTGTGTTCATTTGTTACAAGGAAAATGTAAACTCCTTTTCTTTATGCGGTAAATGAATTGAAACACAAAAATTAACAGATCTAGAGCGTACAATGGCCGAAACATAGTGACTATGGTAATGAAGATGAGGATAACAGTCCGAATAATGTAAATAAAAATTGTTTTGTTTCTTTGTACTATTTCAATGCTCATTCGGGTTTCGGTTCCACGTTTTTCATCCTTAGTTAATGATGTCGGAAGTTTACGTTAAAAAAAATTCGCAATATAGAGCATAATATTTGGTGATTTTAAAGTCTCTGAGAATTGATAGATTAATTTTATTTCGTTAGGGCGCCCTCAGAATAAAGTTGCGGTTTTATTTTTCATCGTGCGAACTAAGGAAAAAAGACTCATAGGCAAAAAAATTGTCTATAACTTTGAGAGTAACCATTAAGTTATCTTTCGTTGTTTGGGCGCCCAAATTTCATTTTCTGTAATTGAAAAAAGAGATTTGAGCGTTGGAACATTTTTTGTTTACACTTCTGTGCTTTAAAATTATGGACGTTAACTTTATGGTGTGGAAAGAGACCTAAGTTAGCTTGATTCAGCAAAAGGGCTAATGGAAAAAAATGTCATGTAAGAAAATCATATTACACCAGTTTTCCAAGGGAAAGGCGTGGTTTTCTAGAAAATCATCAACCAAAACCATTGCTTTTGTTCTGATCTCGAATTGATGTCGAGATCTCTTCATTTTACAGTCGAGTTGGCGAGATGAAACCGTAAATTCTATGCTGATAATTTCTTCTCTCGCACTTCTTTCTTGTGGAACGCCCCTTCTGCAAAAAATTAAATGCAATGTCGATCGCTATCTACTGTCCACCTGATTACTCTCTTCTCTTTCTGTTCATCATTAATGTTTCTGTTCCTAATTCTTCCACACCCATTGTATTTTAGTGTCATTACTGCTTTGCTTTGGGTGATTCCAATGTTAAAAAAAAGAACACCGACTTCTCGCATAGATAGGGAA